GGGGTTTTTTTTTTTTTTTTTTTTTTTTCCTTATATAATTTCATCTAATGTTTCTTGTTTTGTTTCCTTACATGCTCTGGATGGAAATCATTTGGTGACCTAAAGAGTTAAAAGACTGCCAGTCTTATTTATTTGGTTTTTCAAGATGGGGTTTCTCTGTGTATCCTTAGCTGTTTTGTAACTCACTCTGTAGACCAGGCTGGCCCTGAACTCAGAAAGCTGCCTGCCTTTGCTTCCTAAGTGCTGGGACCAAAGGTGTACACCACCACCACCTGGCTGAGACTGGCCAATCTTAATCTGTGGTACAAATCATCTTTTAGAAGGGACATATAACAATATAAGTAATGTATTTTAGACTTTTAAATTTTCAGATATGAAATATATGCTTTATTATTTGTACATAATATACAGATAACTACCTTGTATGCATGTATGTGTGGTGCTGCAGACAAAGAGCCTATTACTTGCTAGACAAATGCTCTGCCACTTAGCAGTAGCCTTTTTTCTTGAGTCAGGGTTTCACTATCTAATAGCACAGGCTGGCTTTGAATTCACTTTAATACTCCTGTCTCAGTGCCACATGCTAGGATTATGAGGTCTTTTACTCTGTTTCCTATAACGAGAAGTGTAAGAAACGACAGTTCCAAAGACAACTGTTAAAACCGGGGAAAAGCAGGCATGATGGTGCCTGTAATCCCTGCATTTGGGAGGGAAGCAAGAGGATCAGGAATTCAAAGCCAGCCTTGGCTATATAATGAGTGTGAGGCCAGCCTGGGCTATGCCTCAAATAAATAAAATGAACTAAAATTGAAGAAGCAGTGAAGGTGGCTTACCTTTCATCATCTTGGGGGTAGTAGAAGAAGCTGCTGTGGACGATGTGCGACAGTTTTCTTGTAAGTAGCACCTTTGGTCATCCATCCTGTTGCTTTGAAATCGCCTTAGTAAGTCAAAGAATCCTTCATCTCCAATAGTTTCTGCACTGGTTTTCTAAAACAGAAAATCTTGTATGTTTAGTTATTCCTCCTTTATCCTTAGGTCATCGTGAACATCATGATAAAATCAAATGCAAGATTAAAAACAAAAACTGGCCTTTATTTTCAAAAAAGAATTCAAGTGGCAATGCTGGTACTCAAACGCTCCCATACTGGCCCCAAAAGACTCACTTTTAATTATTTAACTTTTAATTCCTGTATTTCTTAGGCCAAAGTAGTATATCTGAAGCTTGGCCTGGACATTCATAACATTGAGGCAGGAGGATCACAAAGTTCAAGGCCAAGTCTGGCCAACTTGGTGAGTGACTCAAATAAAATTTTATAGAAGTTCTGGAGATGTGGCTGAAGCTCAGTGGTAGATTACACAGCGTGTTTGAGGCCCTGGATTTAATCTCCACTACAAGAAAAAAACACCTCAGTCTCCAGAGAAATGCTGCAGATACCACTATGCGAAGTCATGCCAAATTGGTGGTGGGGATAAATCTGAGAAAAGCAGAGGAAGAGGGGTGGAGCCCACCACATGGTACAGCATAGAGTGCCTGTGTGCATGTGGTCAGAAGAGAACGCCACTGTGCTGCTGATTAGCAATACAGAGGCACCTCAGGCTCAATGACTCCACAATTGAATTTCAGTAAACTAATTTTTGTAAACTAACTGGAAAAGCAACATAATATAACAATCTGAGAGGTCTTTTCCCATGTGGGGAACACCAGTACTAGGGATCAAATGCATAAATCCTCACGAAACTCCTCCCCCGATGGCCCTATTTATTAAGGAAGACCCTGAAAAAAACCCTCTATTAAATGTTTGAAGGAAGGAGGGGGCCTTTCATTGGAGTGCTCCAACCTGAATGGTGCTAATATAAGCAATTGATTCTCCGTAAGTATTACAATAAAGCTACACACACACAAAATGTCATAGGCCTAAGAAGGGTATTAGCTAAGTAAGTATATTAGCTAAAGTTTCATGTATTTGTATTAGCTCTTTTAAAAATGAACAAGCATTTTCAAGTTAGGGATGCTTTATATTGATAAATACAGTTCTAAGGGTTTGTTTATAGGACAGTGGATGGAAAGGGAGAAGGGGTTAAGAAAGTATCGGTCTTTGTAGGCAAAATACTGAGTTCTGAAATTCAGTGGCAGTACAGCCAGTGTTAAACAGTTCTATACAGATCCCTCAAGTGGCTTCAGGCAGCAGAATCAAAAGCAGGGGAGGTCAAGTCTATTGAGAAAGGAGAATTTACTACAAGTGGGACATACAGATGTGAAGAACAAAATGATCAGGTGTGGTTAACACAGGGAAGGGATCTAGCTTTCTAGGTGGAAACAGCGCCCATAAACGAGAGAGGGAAAGAAGAGCAGAGTCAAGAGTCAAACTGAATCTCATGTTTGGAATTGAAGTGCTTATTATAAACTACAGTCATACTTTATCACACAGACCTTGTTCTAGGTGTGGAAGGCCTGTAATTTACAATTCTGAACCTCAAAAATAGCATGGGGCCTGGGCATGGTGGACAACGCCTGTAACTCTAAGTCAGCCTGGTCTACACTGAGGAAAACCTTGTCTCAAGAAGCCCCAAACGGGAAAAAACACAGTAGGTTTCAAAAGTAGAGACATCAGCTCAATCCAGGGTGTCTGCTGAAGACACCCTGAAGCCCTAGTTCTGGTGCATCCCTGGACCATCTATACACAGCCCTAAATTCTTCCTTTGTTAGCCCAAACCAAAGAAAAGATACTGCAACGGTAGGTATACAGTCATTAGTGGAGCTTTAATAAAAAACCAGACTTTTTTAAAGACCTTCATGGACTGACAATGGGACTTGGGGAAGAATGTTGTGATCCTCTTTATCAGAATATAGAGTAGCCAGCTAGCTCAGAGAGTTCTTTGATACTGATCAATAAGCCCAAAGTGTCTTCATTTTAGAGTAAGTTAAATTCAATAAATTGGTTTCCTCTTAATAAGAAAGCAGTTATGGTTTCAGTAATAGAATGAAATAAAAGCTGATGCTACCAAATATTTAGAAATCCACAAAGATAAAAAAAATTCACTGGCCTCTGTTCCACTAGGTCTAATGCTGTAAAACTGACTAATTCATTAAAAAATAAAACCCTTGAATATCTGAATTAAATTTGTTTTGACTTCAAACATGAGTTTGTTACTGCTGTTTGCTAGTAAGACTAACAGTAGTAAACAGCCTGGCAACAGTGACTTAAATAGTAATAATTACTGTCCAAATCACTGGAACAATTAATGATCAGAGTAGGTCCTAGCTGAGAACAGGAAAGACTTGAAGATACACATTCTTTGACTAATGCACATATTACTTGTTTGTCGACAATTTGGTATGAATACAAGAAAACGAAAGTATTACAGTTGGGCGTTAAGGTCTAACACTCCTGATTTAGTACCTTTTGAGGATTTGGAGCATGGTGGTCGATGGAGTTGCTGGCATCGTGAAGAACTTTAGTGGTACTGCTGCTTTTGTACTTTTTCCCCTTCAGTCTGTTGACAAACAGCAGCTTTGCAGAGGGCTTGGCAATGAGAGGTTTTTGTTTAGCAAGGATTTCACTGTTCCAATTTGGTACCTATAAATTGTAAGTGGAAAGCAAGGCATGAAAGCCCCACCTTCACAGTTACTCACGATCAGCATGGGAGGATCACAGATCCTTGGGTGGCTTTTTTGTTGTTACATATGTTTTGTTTTTAGATGGAGGGTCTCATTATGTAGCCTTACTGGCACTCACTCTGGCTCTGTGGGCCTTTTGCCTCAGTCTCACAAATGTTTGATGAATCCATTCAACAAATTCAACAGTGCATATAAACACACATTGTGACTGCTTTTATGAACATAAGAGTAAGAAAATGAAGTTTACCCAAATCCTTTAAAAATACATTTTGAATGGTCAGAGAAAACAAAGTATTATTCTGGATGTAAATTACATAAAAATCTGTTACAACTTGTGAGTATATTATAATTTTTACTTAAAAATTAGTATCTAAAGTTTATATAAAACAAATATTTGTTGATAAAACTAGCGATTTCACTCATATGAAATAAATTCTCAGTAGATAAAATTTATACACATATCCCCCCAACCTTCTCTCTCATATGCACAATGGTAATTTTTTCTAAAAGAACTTATTTCTCTAGAAACTTTTTTGTTTGTTTGGTTTTTCGAGACAGGGTTTCTCTGTATTGTTTTGGAGCCTGTCCTGGAACTCGATCTGTAGACCAGGCTGGCCTCGAACTCACAGAGAT